TTCTTTCCCACTAAGCCACCAGTGGAGGGTTTCCAAGGACGGTGAAACTTCATCTCACGTCCTTGCTGTGAGGAGGGACCAGTCTTTGGGAAAAGGCATCAGGCTGGGAAGGGTGCAGGGTCAGAGGAGGAGAGACAGACCCTCAAGGAGATGAACCCACACGGTGGCTGTGACCGTGGGCTCGAGCAGGTCAGAGGTCATGGGGATAGGGCAGGGCAGGGTGTCCACAGTGTGGCCGCAAACTGACGAGATGGCAGCCAGCAACAGCAGTGGTTTCAGGCAGCAGATACATCGCCGCTGTCTCCTGAGGGAATTGCAGAGTTTTAGGACATGTGAGATAGAAGATACTGTCGCGGTCATCTTTGGCAAAACCATCCTCCCTGTGCGTGTACTCAGGCATGGCCGGTCCAGTTGAGGCCCGTTTTCACAGGGGAGGACAGTGAGAACATACAGGGCTCATAAGGGATGCCTCAAACAGCTGCAAAGCAGTGGACATTAGACAGTGGGTACTGCACACAAACACCACTGGGCACTGAGAAGACTCAGGGTGTTTCTCGCACGAGCAAATGCTTGGCAGGTCTCTGTCCTTCCAGAAACACTCCCCCTTCATGACTCAACGGCATCACGTACATAAGATCTGAAGTGTTTTCACATGACTTCCATCCTCCAGAAAAGCCGTCCTGGGGTCTCCGGGGCTTTTATGAAAGAACAAGAAAACATTCATTTCTTTAGCACATCGTAATGAAAACCATCCCCCAGAACTCAGCTGAACGGCTTTGTTTACCCTGGGAGTTTCAGATGCCAAGAGGCCTGGGCTCTGGTTTTGTGGGTCTGGAGTTCTGGGAACAGAAAGCGGGGTTTTTAACCGACAGTTAAACCTCCGCGGTGGATCAGCCGCCCATCTCCACACTGTGTTAAAGTGAGCTCAGCGGATGGTGGGAAGAAGTCACGATGCCTGATGTTCCGTCGGCGTGGTGTGACGGCAAACATCTGCTCGGGTTAGAGTTCTTCCCGCTTGTGTTCTTCTGCCTCCATCACTCAGGCGTCGTGCTGAGATTTGAGGTCTGTGGAGATTCTCAGGCTGCTCTTCCGGAACCTTCCCAGGAACCTCCATCTGCCCTGGAGGTCCTTGGCTCCCAGCTTGTAATGCCAAGTTCACGGCTTTGGCCAGAGGTTCACGTGGAGGCTGTCAGCTGAGCTAAGATGTTGGCTGCTGGTTAGAGACGCATTAGGCTGTGCCTTTGTGAGAAACCAGCAGGGCCGTGCCTTGTGAGCAGGCGTTTAAAAGCTTGCTAAGAAGTACTCATAGGAACTTGTTTGTTGCTGCCTTTTTGCTTTTTCCTGAGGGGCAGACTGACCTGGTTTGCTAAGATGTGGTCTGGAAACCCAGGGGCTGCAAACACTTTTAACAGTGTGGCAAACCCCTTAATCTCGCTAAGCCTCCATTTCTTCTCCGCCAAGAGAATGAGTGAGGGTTTTCAAAATCTCACATGAGTCTGTTTGCAAAGTATTATTGGCCCCAGCTGGATGCTTCCTGAAATGGTCGATTCATAGAACTTTGCATCTTAGGGAACCTCAGATGGCACGTACTTAAATCTCCTGCCTGTTTATCCCGCGGATAAATATTTAGCGAGTACTTAACGTTCACCACAGACCGTTCGAGGGAGGGGAAATGTCCAGGATGGGATCATCCCTGCTCTGTCTTCACGAAGCTCTCTCTCAGCTGGGAACAGCAGGCCGTGTAAATGAATTTTTAAAAATCGATGGAAATAGACAATATATTGAAAATTCGATGGACCGTCACCACCCTTGGGACCAGCAGTTAGGAGACCAGGAGGTGTATTGCCACAGGCAAGCCTGCTGTCAGGGACCTCTCCAAAATACTGGCGAGTGTGATGTCAGTTTCAAGATTGACTGAGGCCATGGTCTTCTCAGTCACTTGCTATACATTGACAGCTGGACAGGGAATAAAGATAATAGAAGGATTGGTGCCTTTGAGTTGTGGTGTTGGGGAAGAGGACTGCTATCAGATGGATGGTCCGAAGGACAGACAGATAGGTCTTGGCAAAGGTGTGCCCAGAGCGCTCCTGGGAGGCACGGATGGTGAAGCTTTGTTTCTCATATTTTGGACACGTTGTTAGGAGAGGCTATTCCTTGGAGAAGGACATCGTGCTTGGAAATATAGAGGGACCTTCCACAAGGTGGATTGACACGGTGAGTCCAGCAGTGGGTTCGAGAGTGTCAAAGGTCGTGAGGACGGCCAGAGTAGGACAGGGTTCAGATCCGCTGTTCACAGGGTCACTGAGAGCCATCCTTGACTGGACGGCACCTGACAGGAACAAGAGCATGACAGGGTGACAGGGACGAGGGTTGAAGGGAGGTTGTAAGTGTGAAGAGAGGCCATGTCCACTGAGCCCTCGTGACACAGAGAAGACATCAAGTGGACATAGAGCAGGACAGCTTTCCACAGTCCATCCAGAGGGGTCTGCGAGTGTCGCCCCTCACTGTCCAGTGTGAGCACACGTGCTGGGTGCACACAGGCAGGTAAGGCTGGAGCCCCAGAGGCAGGCGGTCAGGTGAGGTTCCTGGGTGGGAGGTGCATGTCAGCCCATTGTCATTCCACGGGCCATGAACCAATCCGCTCCCTTAAGGGTCCAGGATGCTGTGAGGGGAATGCACTGTGAGTTGGCGGTTGTGGAGTAGGACAGGTGGCCGGTCAGGAGAGAGGGTGCCCAGGAAGAGGGGAGGTGCCACTACCTGAAGCCAGAGGGAGGGTGCCCGTGGGGACCAGGCTGGTGTGTGGGATGTGGACACCATCAGGGTAACGGGAGGGCGTTTGATGGCCAGATGGGTGGGCAGGGGGTGGAGCAGAGAGGAGGCTTGCTTGACGCTGCTGTTGATATGTTACGATGGCTTGTGCTTCCTGGGGGAAGGAGCAAGGAGCCGGGGAGACTTGAGAGGAGCTGCTTTTGGTGGAGAGGGGTCCTTCCGAGGATGAGGCCCCGGCCCAGGTGAAGGGTAGACGAGCGCGCCAGCGGGGACTGAGGCGGTGGACTTAGAGATGGCCCGGGATGACTTGGGTTACGTGCTCTTGGCTGTTGGCTGTGGTTCTGTTTGAGGTCATCTGTGGATGGTGATGGGGTGTGTGTGGTGGGGGGTATGTGGGGGGGTGCCCCCGAGAGGGGAGGAGGCCTGTGAGGAGGACAGGGCCACTGCGTCGTCGGGTCAGTGGCCTCGAGCCTCGCGGAGACCCGGGTGGGCTGCGTGCGAGGCTCTGGGAGGACGGCAGAAGTGGTCATTGGTGTGCGGCTTTGAGGACGGCCGCCTGGGTCCCCCGGCTTACCGGGTCTGATGAGGTGACCAGATGCCTCCACTCACTCGGGCAGCCCCACTACGTGCTATTGTCCAGAGTCATTTGTTGTCCCGCCTTCTGCTTTCAGAAGTGCCCTTGTCTGGCGGTACGTGATCCCCTGTTGTTGAGCCAGGAGTCATACTGGCAGTGTTGGCCTGCTGACCACGAGGTCAGGTGTTCAAATCCACCAGCACCCTTGAAGAGCACAGTAGGAAGTCAGCTTCTGTGGAGTCTGAGCCCCAGAGTGCGGCTGGAGGGTCACTGGGCAGAGGCGGGTGGAGTCAGAGTGGACGGGCCAGCGCTGGGTGGTCGGGGCTGGTTAGCAGGCCACTGCCCTCCTGTGTCACCTCAGTGACAAATGGCCGGTCTATTTTAGGCCCTCATCTCTTCCTCACATCCTCTGCCTCACGCCCTCTCCATGACCTGTGACCTCTCCCACGAGCTCTGTCCCCGCGCCCTCCCTACTTCCCGTCTGCGTGTTGTCACTGTCCTTCCACACCCACTGTGGACATGGGTGGTCTCTAGGCTGGCCATTGCTGCACAGAACCCTAGTGGACCTCACAGCGCTTCCACAGCCTCCAGGCCCTGGGCGCTGGTAACTCGTGGTACAGTGACTGTCCTGTATCACACAGCCCAGAGCGAGGACAGTGCCGGACAGTGTCACAGCGTCCTGAGCGCCTCCAGGTCCCAGGAGCTGGAATCTCATGGTTCAGTGAGTGTCACACAGCCCAGAGCTAGGACAGTGCTGGACAGTGTCACAGCGCCCTGAGCACCTCCAGGCCCTGGGTGCTAGTAACTCGTGGTACAGTGACTGTCCACTGTGTGATCACAGCCCAGAGCGAGGACAGTGCTGGACAGTGTCACAGCGCCCTGAGCACCTCCAGGCCCCAGGATCACAGCGCCCTGAGCACCTCCAGGCCCCAGGAGCTGGAATCTCACGGTTCAGTGAGTGTCACACAGCCCAGAGCGAGGACAGTGCCGGGCGGCATCACAGCCATCTCAGCTCTGGAAGCAGACCTCCTTGTTGTGGCTTGTCCTGTCCTGTCCTCGCTGGACGACTGCAGGAAGGTGGGCCAACCTCTCTGTTTTCAATCTTCCCCCCCCCCCCGCCCTCGGATAAAAATCACTGAGCAAGCGTTTGAGTTGATTCTGATTCATGGTGACCCTCTCACACAGACAAAACTGTCCCTTAAGGTTTCCCAGACTGTAAATGTTTTTAGAACCTGATGCCTGACCTGTCTCCCATGGGCTGTCTGGTGGCTTCGAACTTTTGGCCCTCAGGATAGTGGCCAAGGGCTTTAACCATTGTGGGACCAGAGCCCCTGGTGGATAAAAAAGGATCTACTGTTACTGTATTATAAAGATTCAGCAAACAGCTCGTATAGAGCTCTTCAGCCATGCTTTGGTGTCTAGGAAACTTGGCAAATATTAGCTGTTGGGATTCCAGCTTTTCAGAGCAGGCACCCTTCACGTTTGCTTCCCGCCGTGGAACTGCTAATCCTGTTTACCCCTTCGCTGCTGCCAAACCTCTTGGCTGTGGGTCTTCTCTGAATCCACCTGTGAGAAGCGTTCTTCTGTCCAGCGTGAATCCAGCCAGCTTCCACGTAACGGGCTGTGAAGTCCGGCACACAGCTTGCCTTTCCTGCAGGACGAAGGTGAGATGTTTCTAGGCACACCACTGGCCTGGTGTTTGGATATGTGGCGTGGCCACATCCGCTGTGAGTGCACCCGTGTTTACCAGGAGCTGGGGCTCTGTCTGCAGCCTTGGGGCGAGGTGCCAGATGTGTCCCTCAGAACTTCAGAGGGAGCTCTGATGGTAAGGAGCTGCCAGCCTGAAGGGAAGTGGTTCAAATCCACCAGCTGCTCCAGGCGGGGAAAAGAGAGCCATTGACCTCCCGTGTCATTTACTGTCTCCAGAACTCACCGGAGACTCCGGTATGAGTAGGTTCTGATTGATGGCACATAACAACAGAGCTTCTCCCTCTGTGCTCCCGCCTGGGCCGGGCTCTGCTTTTGCTCCAGGGTCCTGCACTGAGTGTGGACCGCTGTGCTCATGCTGTGTGCTGGTGCTGGGCACACAGCGAGGAAGAAGGGGTCTGGCAGGCCTGAGGGGACCCTCGCCTGCCCCGGCCTGCTGACTCATGTACTGGCTTCTGGTCTGAGTGTCTGTCTAGTATCGAAAGCCTGCTGAATCGTCAGATGGTTGGGGGAATTCCAGGCAGTGTTCTTTATAAGTAATCTTGAACGGGCCAGATACACAAGCAGAGAAGGTTGCATCTGTTCAGACTAAATAACCCAGAGTGTGGAAGCAGAAACCACTTTGGCCACAGTGACGGATTCATCGGCTTGGTTTAGCTGGGGCCGAGTAGCAGTTGTCTTTGTAACCCTTCCTGCTCTGGTCTCTTCACTTTAGTGCATGTTGTTACTGTTAGGAGTTGTCAGGGTGACGGTGACTCTTAACCACCTTGTCTTGTCCTGGCCTTCCTCATAATCTCTGTCACGCCCAAGTCAATTTTGGAATTTGCTGTGTTCATCTGTCTTGTCGAGGGACTTCTTCTCTTTCTCTGACTTTCTACCTTTCCCAACACGATGTCTCTCTCTGCATCCTGGTTCCTCTGGACAGCATGCCCAGAGTCAGTGAGAGGCAAAGTTTAATCATCCTTGCCTCTTAAGAGCGTACACTCTGCTTGTACCTCTTCCGAGAGGGATTTGTGTGTTCTTGGGGAGTCCGTGGACTAGTCTGTACTCGTTGCTAACACCACAGTTGAAAGGCATTGGTTCTTCTTCTAAGATGTTCCTTATTTATTGTCCGACTTTCAGATGCATAGGAAGCAATTGAAATTACCGTGGCTCAGATCAGGTTGGCCTTGAAGAGCTCCTTGGTGGCAGAGTTTCCCAGTGCAGCACGACTTTTGCTGTCTTGAGAGCTGTTATCATGGGCATTGATTGTGGATTCAAGTAAAGTGAAATAATCGACAATGTCAATCTTTTCTCCGTCTAGCATGATCAAAGACTTCAGCTTTGGATTACATCTCAACTTCAAGGAAACAAAAATCCTCACCACTGGACCAATACACATCATGATAGTTTAATACAGACAGACATTTAAATGTTTGTCTTACCTGCCTTGAAGCCTTTCCTCTGCTGAGAAGGGCTTTGCTCTGACAGGTCAGTTACCTGATTCCCATGGGTATGGGCATCCGTGTCTCCTGGCTGGAGGTTATTGGCCCAGGAGTGGACATCTGATTTAAGTGGAGCCACTCAGAGTCCTTCCCTGAAATACTTTACTGTGGGTTACCAGGAAGTGTGGCCATTCTCTCTTCATTGGCCAGGCTGTACGATTAAAGCCATTTCTCTTTCTGCCTCATAGAAAAACCTCAGTCCTAAATAAAAAGAGGCCGATTTCAAGGCCCTCCGAGGTGGAGCTCTAGCCCTGCCCTGCTGCTACCCCAGTGCTCTTTGGAACCCTGTTGAGTTGTGCTTCACAGAGAAACGTCCTGTCCACCTTCCTTTCTCATTGTTGGCTGGGGTTCTGACCACCGAGTGGAGGCCTTCAGGTCAGCCGGTTTCCTGCAGGTGCTTAAATCTAGTCCCAGGTCTTTGGAGGATGGAGGCTTACCAGCACCCCCGTCCATGTCCAGCTCCCACTAGCCCTTGCACACAGATCCTCTCAACAAGGACCATTCGTGTGTGTCGGAAATGCTGGCATGACGGAGCTCCAATGGGATGATCCCTTCTCCCCAGGGTGACGCTGCCCCGCCTCTTCCTCTCGTCTTTAGGGTGTGGACAGTTTGCCGAGTTCCCACCACATCAGCCCTCGTTAGCAGAGGCCCTTACCTCATTCTCTCCTGGAGGGGAAGTTGTGGGGTTCTTCCTGCTGTAGTTCCAACTTTCCCAGGGCTTTGAGCATCAGATGTGGTTCTTCAAACCAAGAATAGACAGTTTGATGAAGGATGGAGGAAGTGAGCCCCTCCGAGCCACTCTGTTGGCCTCTGAATTAGACTCGCACATTACGTTCACGAGGGCAGGGCTGGTGCCTGCCTGTCCCCTCCGTTTCCCCCGTCCTTGGCACCCAGCACAGGGTGAGCAGTCCCGGGTGGTTGGGAAACGAATGGATGAATAGTATCATCCTTCTTTTATAGGTGAGGAAACTGAGGCTCAGATGAGTTAAATTATTTACCCAGTAAAGAGATAGCAAGCAAGGAGTTCTAGAGGTGTGCTGTGTAACATTCTAACCAGAAGGTTGGTGGTTCAATACTCCCCGTGGGAGAAAGCCATGCCGTCTTCTTTCACAAAGTTACAGCATCGGAAACCCCACGGAAGGTTCTCGTGAGGCGAGAGATGTGACGGCTGTGCGCTTGGCTTGTTTTATGTCATATATATGCATAGTGTGTGTGTGTGTGTGTGTGTGTGTGTGTGAATCAGAGCACTCAACACACCACCATTGAGTCAGTTTCCTCCTGCTCCCACGGGGCCGAGGGTCAATCCACAGACTTGAGGTCAGCGGCCTGGCTCACGATAGACGCCACCACCAGATCTGTGTGTATATGAACAGGGAAAAAAAAACACAACACCTCAGCTCATTGCCGTACTGTCAGAACCAGACAGAATGACCCTGCACCGAGGGTCCAAGGCTGTGTTTATTGTAAATGCCCATATTTGTTGCCTTAGAGCCACTGGTGAGTTTGAGCCCTAGAGAGGCCTAGCTTTGGGGTTAGTAGATCACCTTGCTGTGGGCTATGCTGCCAGAGCGTGTGCGTGTGTGTGTGATATATATATATAAATATAAATTGCAGATTGCCCATTTTTCTGCCAGGGAGCAGCTGGGGTATTTGAACTGTGTACCTTTGGGTTAGCAGCTCAGCTTCTTAATGCAAGGCCACCTGACTTCCCTTAGAGAGAGAGAGAATATGAATGTGTATGTGTGTGTGTGTGTGTGTGTGTGTGTGTGTAGTGATAGATCTGGTTCAAAGCTTTAGGTCTGTATTCTCCTTGTCTAAGGCTTACTCTAAGACATCCTGGTCTTTAAACGAGGAAACAACTCCCTCAGAGTGTCTGCCTTGTGAGGGTGGAATCCTTGCTGTCTCACTTCACTCCTGACCTGATGGTAAAACCTGGTGCGCGGCTGTGCCTGGGAGGACATGCAACTCCTGAAGCTAAGCGTTCACACGTCAGAACTTTAAGGCAAGGCGGCTTCAGATGTGAGCTAAGACGTGTGTTATTTTCGAAGCTCCCTTTTCAGCACGCCGCACGAGCGCTTAGGTGACAAGAGATGGGGAAGGCTGAGTGTGATAAAATATTCACTGTCAGGACTGCTGGGGAGCCAGGCAACTGGAGCAGCACTTGTGTGCCCTTGCTTATTTTATGCTTTTTAATTGTTTTCAAGAGGAAATGTTTATTTTTTTTTCATTTTCTAGTAGCTTATTTACAAAATTTGAATACAAGTTCGAAGAAATTCTTTCAATTTCCCTCACCCCCACCTATCAAATTATACAACCCAGTGATTAATCCCTCCTCCCCCTGCACACCCACATCCCTCTGCTTCCAGCCTCTCCCACCCCTCTTGGATCCTTATACTCATTCTACAATACCGGTCTTATACAATATTTATCCTTGTGGGACAGAGTTAGTTCATTCAGCATAATGCTCTCCAGTCCCTCCCAGGTTAGGTAACAATTTACAAAGTTATTGCTCCTCTCTGCTGCATAGTATTCCATTATGTGAATGTACCATAATTTCTCAATCCATTCATTTGTGGTTGGACATCTGGGCTGTTTCCATGTTGTTGAGATGAATAATGCTGCTGTGAACATTGATGTACAAATCTCAGTTTGTGCCTCAGTTCTCATTTTTTCATGGTGTATTCCAAGTAGTGGACTAGCTGGGTCAAATGAAATTTCTATGTTCACTTTTTGAGGAAGCCATCTTCCAAAGTGGTTGTACCTGTGCGCTCTTTCTTGACACCAGTGTGGCTTTCATCTGTGGGCTCCTTGTCTTAGACCTGCCTGTAGATCCGCCAGGACGATAACAGGTCATCTGACACCCAGCAGTGGCCGGTGAATCATGAGGACGGGTCAGGATGCCCTGTCATCTGGCCTGGGGTGGGTTTGGGGTTTGATATGTGTGTGAAAATCTTAGTCTTTGCCCCATTTTGTTGGCCTCTGTAGTTGCTATTGACATTTACTTTCATTGTTAGTATTTTATAGGACTTATGCCTTCTGGAGGCCCTGAGGGACTCCTGGTGCTGTAGCATGTTACATGTTGGGTTCCTAACCAAAAGATTAGCTGCTCCATGGGAGAAAGATGGGCACTCTGTAACATATATATAAATAAAACACAAATACACACACATACACACACTCTCTGTGGTGGCATAGCCCACAGCAATCATCCATATATAAAATCAGTGTTTTATAAAATCAATCACCGCTGATCTATGCCTACTATTACCTCTTCCTCTCAGGCCCCCGTTGGATCCTTCCTAACCCCTTCACCCGCTCGCCCACAACTCTGTGGCTTCACGATTTGCTTCCTTCCCAAACTCGGCCCCCTTTCCCTTCCACTTTTGGACTTTCACACACATTTTCCTAATTATCCTTCTATTTTTTACAATAACAATCTTAAGCAGTATTTGTCCTTGTGAGACTGAGTTACTTCACTCAGCATAATGCTTTCGAGACATGGCAGATAGAAATTGTAAACGTTTGCTCCCAAGTGCATAGTATCCCATCATGTGAATGTGTCACAATGTATCCCTTTGTTTGCTAATGGAGGTCTAGGTTGTTTCCGTGTCCTTGCGATGGTGAATACCGCTGCTCTGACATCGGTGTACATGTCTCCGTGTGTGTCTCAGCCCTGTTTGCCTGTGGTCGTTTTTAGAGTTATCCCTGCCGTGCTCCACATGACGTGAGTCCACACCTGTAGCCACAGAGAAGTGAGAGGCAGCTGTGACTAGAAGGAATGTCCCCTGAACATGACGGACGTGTTGGACCAAGACCTTCGGGCTGGGCGTGATCACGGGGCTCCGTGGTTTCACTGTGGGCCCCCGAGAAACCACTTAAGGTGGAAATCCATCTGACCTCTGTCCCATAGGGGCTGTCCTCAAAGAGGAAGTCCTCTGGGTCCTAGAATGCCACCTGGTCATTGGCGAGCGGCTGTGTGGACATAGCTGTGTTTATGCAGCAGGCTGATGGGCAGGAAGTGGTGACTCATCAGAAAGGAAAGAAAGAGCTTCTGCCCAAACGAACTTCCTCTTTCCGATCCGGCCTGCTCCCATCTATCTTTGTAGAACTTCTCTCTGCCTCTTAAATACACGTACAGCAGTGGCATCAGCCAGTGGGACTGACATGCGTTTCCAGACCACTCCTGCCCAAAGGCTTGCTTTTCCCATCAGACAACCTAGCTCTGAAAACCTCCCCATCTCATCTTCCCAAGACTGGGGGGCAGGAGGGCACTTCTGCCATCCCATGCTCATCATGTTCAAGGTCATCTCCCCCAGGACACCAATGCCTGTCGTATTTCCCTTCACAGAACCCCCCGCTGACGAACTGCCCCTCTGTTTGCCTTCCAGATCCAGGAGGCCGCCAGCCAAGGCCTGAAGTTCGTTGGGGTCATTCCCCAGTACCGCTCCCCTGGGAACTTGACCGGTGGCCCTCGGACGCCCACTGCCAACAGTGCCTCGGACCCGAGAGATGTGAGCGACACTCCTGGCCTTTGTGGGGACAGCACCACGAGGGGTCCCCAGAGCCCAGGGCCTGTGGAAGTGGACAGCACGCAGACAGGGACGGACAAAGGACCAGAGCCCGAGCAGGATCCCCAAGGGTGTGCTCCGGCCGCCGAGCAGCCTGACCTGTCCTCGGAGGGAGACGGTGACGGATGCTTATCCCCTCAGATGAGTGCGGCCCTGGATGGCCGGGACGGCGGCCCACCGGACGGATGTGACACGTCACTCTTGTCGGGTAAGCATGCCTGTGGCACGTGCAGGGAGACCCCAGCTTTTCATGAGAGCAGGTAGACTTCTCCAGCGGACGCGTTCCGAGGTGAGAGGCCTGGGTTTGGTCCTTGGCTGAGGCCTCTCCTGTGCAGCCTCCAGCCGGTCATTGGCCATGTCTGTGCTCTTGTGACATCGGCAGATGCTGATGGAACTTCCTCACTGAGCCAGACAAGGAGGAAAGGCCTGGCCATCGGCTCAGAGTGTGCGCCCCTGAGTGTGAACCTGAGGAGACGCAGGACGGGGAGCGATTTGTCCCCTTGTGTGTGACGTCATCCCCTGTCGGGGTCACCACGGGACAGCTGACAGCAAGAGGAACAATACAGTGGTTTTCCAGCAATTTCCATGGCTTTTTCCTTGAATCAGAAATAAAGCTTCAAGCCAGCTGTCCGTGAAATGAGAGAACCTGTGTTACCTGGTGACAAGGCCTCCCCAGTGTGTGCCCCTGAAGTTGTGACTTGGCGGGGGACTGACTGGTGGGGGCCCTGTGAACTTGGCCCCGAATGCCAGGTGAAGCAGGTTTGAGAACCTGAGCGGCTTTGACGTGCGGTTCCTTCCAAATGCCGTTGTGAAGCCGATTCTGGAACGTTAGATCTTTGACACAGACCTGACTTACCGTGCCTCCGGAGCGCCGGTTTGCATCAGGTTTTGGAATGGGAAGGACTTTGACACAAACTTGACCCGTCCTGCTCCTAAAGGCCATTTTGAAGCAGGTCTAGAAAGTTAGTGGCTCTGACATGAACTTGACCTTGCTCCTGCGTGCCTTGTTGAAGAGAGTCAGCTCCGACACAGGCATTGTTGCTGTTCAGGTCCCTGGTGCTGAAGGCACCTTCACGTTTGATTATCTGCCTGGAGCGAGTGATCAGGAAAGCTGGCTGCAGGTCACTTGTGCAGGACAGTGATGATTTCAGTCAGCGCACAGAGAGCCGGGTCTCGGGGAGCAGGTGGGGGTGATGGGCCGGCACTGTGCAGAGGCTTGGCCATAGGCGAGGAGAGGTGGCCGGGCCGGGAGCCTTCTCTTCACCTGGGGGTGGCTGTTAGAGTGTGGCTTCTAAGGTAGAGCTTTCATGCTAGTGATGTTGATGTTGTTGTTGTTGTTAAGGGTTGTCAAGCAGAGTAAGACTCATAGCGACCGTGTAAACAGCAGAACTGAACCCTGTCCTGTCCTGTGCCGTCCTCACCGGACACAAGCCCCTTGCCGCAGTCACCGTGTCAGTCCATCTGGCTATGGCTCTTCCTCTCTTTTGCTGACCCCTCCACCTTTTAAACAAAGCATGGTATCCGCTCCAGAGAATAGACTCTCTTTAATCAACGCGCCCAAAGAATATGAGAGATGTCGCCTCACCTTCCTTGCCTCCGAGGAGCACGGTGTCCGCACCTTCTCCATGACATACCTGTTGGTTCTTTTGGCCGTCCGTGGGATATTCAGTGCTTCAACACCAGCTCAGAGGCTTCAGTTCTGCTATCCTTGTTCACTGTGCAGCTTTCAAATGTGAAAAGATCGTGGCTTGGATCAGGTGCACTTTAGCCTTCAAACTGGTCTCACTGCTTTTCAGCACTTTGGAGAGATCCCTGACAACTGACTTCCCCAGTAACTGACTTTTCCATCTCTCGTTTTCTGGCTGCTGGTGCCAAGGGTGTTGATTGTGGATCCAAGCAAGATGACATCACTGACGATGGCCCTTCATTCTCCATCTGTCATTACCGTCAGTGTTGATTAGCACTTTCATGTACCAGGGCCTGTGTTTGTACACATTTCATGGCCTGACTCTCAGTTCTGGCCATGGTCCTGTGGTCTGGATGAACCCTCGCGGGGTTCCTGGGCTCATGGGTTCACCGGCTCTCTCATCACCAGTTAGCATCTGCCTTCCTGTTTTCGGCTCCCTTTTTAAACTCAGAGTGATCCTGTGCTGCACAAGAATTATAATATTGAAAAAAAAATAATTATAATATTGGAGCTTCTTTAATGTAACAAAGAAAACCCTGTTCTCCAACAGGATCATCCCCCAGGTGTCGGAGGCCAGCACATTCAGGTGGACACTGTTCTGTCCACTACATCATTTCAGTTTCTAAGGCCTCACTCTAGTCACCTCAGTTTTCCTCACAATAAATTGAAAACAGAAGATGCGGTTATTACTGTACGCGTTTCACTGATAAGGAACGTCACTTTCTGTATCAGCTGAGAGTTAAATTTTCATTTCCTCTCGTGAACATTTAGTCTGCCTGGAGCCTGGACATCCTGGCATCCTGTCCCCATGGCTCTCACTGGACCCCAAACTCCTTGTCTTGTCTTTTTCTGAGGAAGTCTGATTGTTTCTTTCCCTGAGAAATTCTCTATCACACTGTACACTCACTCACAGTCATACCATATACACCTACACACAACATGTCACATACATAGACTGCACACGCTACACCCCACACATGGGCACACACCATGTGCACACACACACACAAGAACATACCACACACAGAAAAACACACACAGCATCCCCTCGCACGGCCCCTCACCATCACCCCATCTGTTTCACCTATCTCTCTCCCCCCCGTCTCTGTCTTTCTCTGCCTCGTCTCTCTCTCTCTTCCTCTGTCTCTGTCTCTCTCTGTCTCAGTCTCTCTCTCTCTCGCTCTCTCTCTCTCACACACTTCATTCTCCCTCTCTCACACACATGTTGTTGTTGTGTTATGTGCCATTGAGTTGACTGTAACTCAGTGATCCTATGCACAGTGCCTCTGAACCCCCCTGTCCTGGGCTAATCTCTCTGTCTCTGACACACCTCACCTCATTACCCCTGGTTACTGTGGCAGTCTGTCTCATCCAGGGTCTTCCTCTCCTGCTCTGTCCCTTCACCTTTCTGAGCATCATGTCCTTCTCCAGGGACTGGTCCCTCCTGGCCACATGCCCAAAGTACATGAGATGAAGCTTCCGATTCCTTGCCTCAAAGGAACAGCTTGGTTTCACCCTCTCCAGGACAGACCTGTTAGTTCTCCTAGCTGGCCATGGTTTATTTTCAGTCCTCTTCGCCAACACCACAGTCCAAAGGCATCAGTGCTGCTTCTGTCCTCTTTGGACATTGTCCAGCTCTCTGATGCTTCTCCTCTTTCTCACACGCATCACACCCACACCCACATTATACCCACACACACATGCCAGCTTCCCTGGCACATCCTCTCACTATCACTCCATCACACACACACACACACACACACACACACACACACACTCACAGTCTCTGTTTCTCTTTGTGTGTGTGTGTGTGTGTGTCTCTCTCTCTCACACACTCTCTCTTCCTATCTGTCTTTCTCTCTCTCATACACACGCACACACTCTCTCTCCCTCCCTCTCTCTCTCTTCCTCTGTGTGTGTGTCTCTCTCTCCCCCTTTCCCTTTCTCTCTCTCTCTCTC